TCCCCATCCACATAGACAGTATAAGCACATATGATAAGAGAGTGGGAACTAATATTCTAGATATGTTCACTTCCAGACATCCAGCTACAGTTTTCTCTAATAGCTCTCCAGACTGTAGAGTTCTGAACCCCTGAGAATGTCCTCCGCTGAGCTCCCTCTCTGACCCAGTCCAACATTCTGGGAGGGCTTCTGCCGTTCAGGAGAAATCCCCAGCACGCAGTGGTAGCTATAAGAAAATATCAAGTCTGGGGAGACCCACTTTCGGGCACCATTTGCTGCGGTGGAGATGGACGGGGGTAGAGGAGTTGGATTAAAGCACAAACAAGGAAGCAGAGCGCCTTTTCATCAGAACCCAGATGGGATAAAGAGAGGCTGAAATAAAAGGTTTGAAGAGGAAAGGACAGGAGCTAAGGGAGTGTGCCTTGAGTGGTGCAGTAGGAGTCGGGTCACTGCAAAGGACGGAGGGGTTGCCATATAATCAGGGACTTGGAGAGAGCAGGGAAGACTTGGAAGAAGCGCTATGTGAAAAGTGGTGAGTCAAGAAGGGATAAATGAAAGGAGTGTGGACAAGAAGAAAGGGAAAGCTTAGGGCAGCCATCTTGAGAGTAGCAGAGACTCAAGCAGAAATCTATCATTTTCAGAGCAACTCAACAACCTGGAGGGAGAACGGGAGGGCTTGTTCAGGGGCAGTCATCTTTAGCTGTGGAATCAGAAAAATCTACTGTAGCTCCAGTTGGCAAGAGATTTAGAGTGGAGGTGAGTTCCCTGGAGATCTGGGTAAGAACAGAGGAGGGTCTGTGAACCAGGCCACCAGAGGAGTTTGAGGGAGGTCTTCCTTAAGAATCAAAGGTGGCCTGCATGCCCTTTGTGTTCGAGAGACGGAAGGTCAGATATTGTGGTCAGAAACATGGAGCTTCGCAGGTGGGGATCTTGGCAGGTGGAGATGTTAATGAGGGTGAAATCCACAGCATGCCTAAACCGGCGGACAGATAATGTGGGATGATGTCAAGGTTACCAGAATAACTTTGGGCAAAAAACTGTGATTAGTGGTGACTTTGAATCTGAGAGATTGATAGGAATAAAATGAGTGGGAAGAAAGACCATGAGGCAGGTACTGCTAGGCTGGAGATAGGTACCAGGAGATTGGGGGCTAAGGAACTGAAATAGGTCATGAGTAACAGAGTAACAGAATGAGAATAGCAGTAGAAAAAGTCAACCCTGCGAGCAGAACAATGCCCCAGAAGTGATCATGGGGTAGGAGAAGTACTGGAACTCTTCCTTCATGCCTTGTGGTTACTTAGAGGGTGTGGTCTTCACCATGGAGAGAGATTATGAGGGATGCCATGTGACGGGGAAGATCCAGTTGCCCTTAATGTGAGTAGGTGAAGGAAGAGTGGAGAGGATGATTCAAAGGGTGTAGGAGAGTTTGTTCTTAAGAGGATTAAAGTTCCAAAAAGATCCATGGAAGTGTTTAGGATAATAGTTCTTAATCTTGGCCGCACAACAGAATAACCCAGGGAGTGTTGAAAGAAAAACCCCAATACCCAGACCAATTAGATCAGAGCCTTTGGGTTGGGACCCCAGAGCGAGTCTTTTTTTTTTTTTTTTTTTAAGTTTATTTATTTCGAGATAGAGAGCGAGCACTGGAGTGGCAGAGAGAGAGGGAGAGAGAGTATCCCAAGCAGGCTCCGCGCTGCCAGGATGGAGCCTGATGTGGGGCTCACAAATCATGAGATCATAACCTGAGCCTAAATCAAGAGTCGGACGCTTAGCCAACTGAACCACCAGGCACCCCCGGAGCAAGTCTTTTTTTAAAGCTCCCCAACGGATTCCTATATATGTGGGATGCAGAACTACTGACTTAGGAAGGGTGTGAGTGGGGAGCGGGTGGGCCAGCAGCAGGAGGAGGTGTTTGGAAAGGGCGATGCAGAAGAGAGTATTTATGGGCAACGATGGTTACAGAATCAGGGAGAGGGCACAGACTGCTGGGGAACACCAGCAGGCAGGGTGCCAAGAAGGCAGAATTCAGGTAACAAAGGGCCTTTCTGAAAATGAGCCCCAAGGTTCCAATTCAAGCGTGGGTGTTAGGCAGTGTTGCTGGGACTGAACTAATTGTCTCTTCAGTATGTTGGATAGACCCTTTACCTATAACTAGGATTTTGGTATTTCTGCATTATTAAAAGGCCATGAGGTGCAAGAAAGCCTTATCCATTATTCATATTTGTTTCAGGCTAAGTGCTGGATCCCCAGCTACTGAGAATTCATAAATGTCTATTTGGAAAGCACTGACCATGATTCAAACTGCTCTTGGGTTGTTTTTACTGCTTAATCCTGTTTGACAATCTTTCTCAGTGTTGACCATTTGCATCTCTTTCCACTAATTAAAACAATTAAAATAGTTTTACTGAATTATTACTTTTTTGGCATGGATTTGCATGTTTCTGTTGGGAAGAAAGGTCAAGAAAGGTCCTAAGTATAAGAACTATGTGTATGAATATAAAATATGTGTATCAAACATTTCAAATATGATGTAGATCTTCTATGGTATGCTTTTTACAATGGTTTTTCCGAGAATTGTTACAAGACGTGCCTTAATCAGATCCCATGGCTCCCTACAAATACAGTTTTCCCTGTGAAAGAATTAAATTCTTTCATCTAGGCTTAAAGCCTAGGATGATTTCCACCCTGACAGTGCGTCAGAAGTATCACATCTGCAAGGAATATAAAAGAACCACAAGTTTCACACTACAGCTGCATGTTCACATCATTTATTCAGCATCAGAAACTCCTACAAGGTCAGCCATCAAAAACATATCCTGTGTCTCATCCCCTCCATGGACCCAACCTGCAACACTCAGGTTTCATGACCCAGAACTACTTTCTGGATGGAAACTCCAGAAGGAAATACTTTGAAATTTCAACAACAAAAATTCTTCCCCTCTTTTTTTTCCCTTGACACATTTTCTCCCACTTCTCCTTTTCCTCCCCTGGGTGCTCATCCTTTAATAGCTCCTCTGCTGGCTTCCCTTCCTCACGCCCGGCAATGGCAGGGCTCCCCTTGGTCTCTGTTTTCTAGGGTGTGGCTCCTCCAACAACCCACATTAGGGGCGAAGTCTAGACTGCAGCCCCCTGCTCAGGTGTGAAGCCTGCTCTCTCCACTCAACAGCTGTGTGACCTAGAGCAAATCGCTTAATTTTTCTGTGCCCTCAATTGAACATCTGAAAAAATGGGGTTAATGGTATCATACAGGGTTGTTGTGAAGATTAAATGATTTAATAAACATTTACAACCATGTCCAGCACATAGGAAGTTGTCAGTAATGCGTGTTCTTTTTAACAATGTCGTTTAACGTATCTCTCTGCTCTCCCTTGATAGTCTCCCTGATCACAGGGATGACAAATATGAGTATTGTAGAGTCGGTTCCTGAGTCTCTACTTCAGGATCTGCTCTCTGTCCAGAGAGTCACACACACATTTCTAACTGTCCCTTGGGCATCTTTGTCCTGATGTCTAATTCATACCTCTAACTCAATATTCCAAAAGTAAAGTCACCAGAGCCACACCCGAAAGCTACCTGCCCCCTAGGTGTGTTACTATTACTGAGAGGCAGACTGGATCTTCTGCTCCATTCATTGCTGGTCACCAGGTCCAACAGGAGTTACTTGAACAGGACCTTCCACACCTATTCCCCTCTCCTCACTCTTCTGCTATCAGCCCAGATCTACCACGCTTTTCTTCTTGACTCTATCTTTCTGCTGATGTCAGACTGATATTTCTTTTTCTTTTTAAGTTTTATTTATCTATTTTGAGAGAGAGAGTGAGAGAGGGACAGTGGGGGAAGGAAGGGGAGAGACAGAGAATCGCTAGTAGGCTCCACACTGTCATCACAGAGCCTGACTTGGGGCTCGATCTCATGGTTGGTGAGATCATGACCAGAGTGGAAATCAAGAGTTAGATGCTAAATGGACTGAGCCATCCAGGTGACCCTTCGCACTAATATTTCTAACATATATTTCCGATCATGTCTTTTGTTGGTTTCAATCTCTCCACTTCCTCTCCAATAACTCAGGACACTGAATCGCAACTCCTCTCTCTGGAAGTTGAAGTCCATCTCAATAAAACTCTTACCTGTCATTTGAGGCTTACTGGAAATAATATGCTAGTATGGAATCTGTATTTACTGTCCTGTGTTTCTTCGTGCTGTTCCCTTCACCTAGAAAGTTTGTATTTTTTCCCACTATGCTGGTGAAACCCTACCTTTCATTTGGGCCCAATTCAAATGTTAGCTCCTTGTCAGATCTCCTCAAAATAATATAATCCCCTCCCCCCTCCTGAACTCCCACAGAACCTGCATTCATCTATAGCATTTATCAGACTCAGACTTGTTTCCCAGTCCTTGGCAGACTTCTTTTATGCCTCCTTCCAGATCATAACTTCTTCAAAGGCACTTACGATATCCTTTAAAGCTTCAAATGGGATAAAATGAATTGCAATAATAGCACCAGGAATTAAGCTCATTTATTCTGCAAAGCAGCAGCCTGTTGTCAAATGCTAACCCTCTTTCTCACAGTCCTCATAAAAAGAATGGGAAAGCATATAAATGAAGTGGCACACAAGAGGAACATACAGTGTGAGCAATTACGCCAATTCCTTTTATAGGAAGCACACAGCTGATATAAACATGGAAGCAGATTATTTACCATGACGTCTCGTTGCCAAATTCTCCTACTTCTTCTAAATTTTTCATTAAAGGAAATCAAGTAAGGTAAACAAAAGTAGCCCTTGGGAGGAATCAGCACAATGGAAAACCACTCATTTGTCAGCATGGCCTCAGAGAAATGTTTACTATTTTTTTTAAACTGCATCTTTTGGGGCCGGATACTTGTGTCTGCGCACTGAGGTGCACAAACACGTACACATGGTCTCTGGGTGGGCGCTGCCACACCAAACCTTGGCTTCAGTGCGAGGGGAAAGAAGGAGGGTCATTCAGGAGCTATTTACCTTCAGGGCATCCTGGGTATCATCCAGACAGTAGACTCGAACACTGTACTCCAGAGACGAGCAGCAGAGTGGTCCAAAGATGGCCAGCTTCAGGCGCTTTGCGGCAGCTTTGGTGGTGGACTGCCCCACCAGGGCGTAGGTGCTTAGGTTCTCTGTGAGGAGGTGGCAAGCCTCTGCATCCAGCTGAATGTAGCAGGGGGTAGTGAAGTTTTCCTCTCCAACCACAACCACATCCTGCAGGACAAGAAGGAAGGAGCTGTGGTTGAGCTACTGTGGGTTCTGCTGGCCGCCATGATGGTGGCCAGTATGGCAGATAGAACAGGACCTCTTCTGCTAAGGTTTGCTCATCCTTTTCTTGTTTTTTTTTTTTTTTTTTTTGGGGGGGGGTTGTTTTTGTCACTCTCAGGCTTTAATGTAGCTCTTTTTCCATTCTTAATCATTCTCCCCCTTACGTCCCCTTGCCTTCATACTGCCAATATTCTTTATTTTGATGGCCCTCTAGTTAGCATTTTTGATCTGAGAATCTACCTCACTGGAATCAACATAAAATTCCAAAAGAAATCCATTAGTTATCCTCCTAATTTCAGTGTACCTGAGTTTATTACTTATGTCTGAGAATTTAATGTTTTATTTATTTATTTATTTATTGAGAATGTAATATTTTAATCTCTAAGTTTCTTATTGTTTGCAAAAGTACTGTTTTATTTCAATGTCATTATAGTGTAATAGGTTTTCCCCCCAAAATCTAGGGGTTTGAAAAGATTTAGAGAGATTAAAGAATTACACATTACCATTCTACTGTGTTCTTCCAAACTCACCCACCAATTACTTTTCAAAAAGATACACTGCTTTTCCTCAATAACCTGGGCTACTGGACTCCACGGAAAGTACAACGTAGTAAACTCGATGCCTTTAAGACACATCTCTCTGGTTAAAGAGCCTATCCTTTTAGTTTTTGAAAATATTTAGCAAGAAGTAAAAATAAATACAAGTGATGAATATTGTTAAAACAGTTACTAACTCGACCAAGTTTTGATTTATCCGAATGACTCAGGCCACGGAAGAAATCATCTGAAAAACCAAGTGTAGGACTCATAACCTAAGGGTCACAATTCCGCATGCCTCCCAGGGCAGCCAGGTATTAGGAATAAGTGCGGCAGGTAAGGCAGAAGACAATAGGGAGTGGAGGAGATTCTGGTAAAGCAGAGCACAAGTCTGTCTAAAGAGCTCAGTTGCCACTTGTTTCAGCTTATCACAGCTATGCAGGAATGTAGGCCCAGTGAGAAAACAACCTGGAATCTTTCAAGAGACTCTGGAAGTTCAAAGTTTTATGTGAAATTTTCCAACTTTTAATTAATTCAAATTTAAAAGAAAACTTCATATGAGTGAGATAAAATACATATGTGGGCATGATTCTGCCTCTGCACTAGACTACTTAATCTTCACAGAGGCAGGAACTGTATCTGCTTTGATTCCCACTATAGCTCAGTGGGCCTGGCTCATGGTGAGCAAATGGGTTTTTGTCCAAAAAATGAATGGCTGTGTCATCATAAATTGAGTCTCAACGATATGAAAGAAGTAGCCGCCTGGGGTGGTTGTTTATTAGTTAGATCTTACAACATCAACTGAGCTATATAGTAGGAGTTGGGTTGAATACCATTCATGAAATTATTTCTTCAACTGAACCTGTACTCCAAGATGAAACTTACACTGAACTGGCAAAGAGAGAAATTCAGCACCGTCAGGTTTATTTTAGCCGCGAAAGGACACATGGAAAGAAGTGCTTCCCCCCACCGCCCCAGCAAGGTGAGGGTAAGCCTCAAATATCACCCAATGAGCATGTTACAGAAAGCCTCCAGTAAGATACAGTCAGGAATAAAGATGCTCCACGTCCCTGCCACAGGTATAAGAGTGTATTCTTTTTTTTTTAAACATAATTTATTGTCAAATTGGTTTCCACACAACACCCAGTGCTCATCCCAACAAGTGCCCTCCTCCCTGCCCATCATCCACTTTCCCCTCTCTCCCCCGCCCCCAATCTACCCTTGGTTTGTTTTTAGTCCTTAAGAGTCTCTTATGGTTTGCCTCCCTCCGTCTCTGTAACTTTTTTCCCCCTCCCCTTCCCCCTCCCCCATGGTCTTCTGTTACGTTTCTCAAGATCCACATATGAGTGAAAACATATGGTATCTGTCTTGCTCTGCCTGGCTTATTTCACTTAGCATAATACTCTCCAGTTCCATTCACATTGCTACAAAAGGCCAGATTTTATTCTTTCTCATTGCCAAGTAGTATTCCATTGTGTATATAAACCACAATTTCTTTATCCATTCATCAGTTGATGGACATTTAGGCTCTTTCCATAATTTGGCTATTGTTGAAAGTGCTTCCATAAACATTGGGGTACATGTGCCCCTATGCATCAGCACTCTTGTATCCCTTGGGGAGATTCATAGCAGTGCTATTGCTGGGTCATAGGGTAGTTCTATTTTTAATTTTTTGAGGAGCCTCACACTGTTTTCCAGAGCGGCTGCACCAGTTTGCATTCCCACCAAGAGTGCAAGAGGGTTCCTGTTTCTCCACAACCTCACCAGTGTAAGAGTGTATTCTTAAGCATTGCCCTCTTTTACTCTTCTTGTCTCTTTATTTCATTTTATTGTTCTTGCTACTGTTATCATTACTCAAGTCCATAAATAGACATCGTATTAGGGCATTAAACAGAGAATTGTGCACACAGTTTAGGATCACTTGAGATTAAGACGTTGGGATGTTTTTGAGATAAATCATTTCAAGCTTAAATGGAATTGAGGTTAAATCTGGTTAAGTCTGGTCATAACTCAACATGAAGTTTACCCCTAGACTTGAGTCCTGGACTTTCAGCCCTCTGGCAAGGAGTGATCCCATCATGTGGCCAAGGGAACATGTCCACAGAAAGGAAATTAGAATAATCCCTGGGATACCTTTCTAACTCAAACACTACTTTTCCCTAAAATACTGAAGGCTTGAATCTGAATCTTCGCATACATTTTTTTCTGAAAATTTTTTTCCTAAAAGAAAAATACCATAAGTCATCACAATGTATCTAATACTTATGGATTGGATATTTTGTAATGGTGACACAAAATACAGTGGTAGCTTTCAAAACTATTAGACATTTTTTGATATATTCCTGAAATATGCTTTCTCAAGAATACTCTAAAATGTGATTTTTAATATGGCTATTTTCCATTTAAACAACAGGTACTGTCTTTCCAAGGGATAATAATGAAAACATGCAAGCTTTTTTTTTTTTAAGGTATTAGGTATAAAGTGGTCATGGTAAATATAACAAATTCATTTGCATGTAACTTCAAGTGCTGATGGAAGGGTTCTGCTGAAAAGAACAGGATCTGTTTAAGGCACTGTCCTTAGGTTATGATGGCAACAGACACACATAGCCAAGATGTCACGGGTGTTCTTCATTCTAGTGGAGCTTCAGGAATGCATTGTTTTTCTGTTTCCCCAAGTTAAGTTCAGAAGAACTATATTCCAGGTATATGTCTACAATGCCTACCATTTTCTGACCCAGTTGCAATGTTTCTTTACCTGCAAATTTAAAAATATATATATATATATGTTTCCCTTCCCAATACACTGTACGTATGTTCCAAGGGGGACTTGTGCAAGACTCTCAAGTGTACTTTCCTTAGAAGTTAGCCAGTGCTTGACCATCATTTTCACTGTGCCTACCCATCAGTAGCTAAAGCATTCAAGAACTAGTCTTTCCTTCTTCCTTCCTTCTCACACTCTCTGCTTCTCTCTGTCTTTTTGAGTACAAGCTAAAATTCCATTCATGTTCTGCTTTAAAAACAAAAACTTTCCCATAATTACTCCAGTTTATCTAAATGAATTGCTCTTGTGTTCCATCTTTATCCCAACAGAAGCTCACCTCCCACTGCCCCTGTGCTGCCTGGTTCTTGAGCTGTATCTTCCAGTCCTCAGTATTGGGATCTGCGCAGTGATGCATAGTGAGGATGACGGGGCGGGTCAGCAGGGCTCCCGGAGGCCCACAGCTCACCACAGGGGTCAAGAGTGTCTGAGTGTCTTCCATGGGTGGCCTAGAAGAAGAGCAGAGATTGGCATGAGTGACATTTCCATAGCATGTATGTACTATGTATTCATTGAGATTTTAGATCTGAAGTTGTGCAAATTGTTTCTTCTTGGGATTTTTGCGGGGGTGGGGGAGGGTGCAGGGGCAGAATTATATGGGAAGACATGTCCTTTATACCAATACTTTCATCTTCAAGACTGGAGAAATTTATGATAACAGTGAATTTGCCAGTGTCTCTTTGATCCCCTTCCCCCAGACACAGACAGACCTGCCTTTGGTAATTTTCTTTGAATTCATGTGCAGATACTTTCAGGATGGAACAGGAAGGAATAGAGTCCTTATGAGGTTACACAACCATCCTTTCTTTTTTTTTTTT